TTCAGACACGCCCTTTTTTATTTCGTCCAATTAGATGTGCCCTTTTTTCTATCATCCAATCAGATGTGGCCCTCCAGACACGCCCGTTTTTCTATCGTCCAATCAGATGTGGCCCCCGGATATGCCTCGTCCAATAAGATGTTGCCTCCCAGATACGCCTTCCGAATTTGTCTGCAGAGATACCTATTTGGATAAACTTCCTGCTGCAGCTGATCAGCTGCTTACCATGCAGAGCAGAGAAGTGGGCGTGGCCAAGAGCGTTTGCAGGTGGCAAAGAGCAGAACAGGGAGCTGAAATCATGACATTCTGTCCTCTTAGAGTGTTTAGAGTTTAGAAACATTGTTTAGAATATTGTAAGAGCGTGAGAAGGGTTTAAAATGCCTTTATATATATATATATATATTTTATAAAATAAACTACTACTTGTACTAATATTCCTACTTCGCAGTTTTTCACTTATCGTGGGTCTTCAGGGTACCGATCCCCCACGATAAATGAGAGACTACCGTACATCAATACTACAAGAATTGTTATTGTTTACTAGTTTTGATTTGTCTCTCTTTATACATACTTTGAATTTAAAGCTCAAGCTTAAGAAAATTCATCTGGGTAAAATTTCATGTAAGAAAGAGGCTGTGGTGGTTATTTCAGCGTAGTCACAGTGAAATGCTCTAAATTTAGAAAAAACTATCTTTACCAGCTTCACAGCATTCTAGAGAAGTTACAGTGTGTTTTAATACTTCACCGTCCACATTTTTGTCATAAATGTTGAATTTATTTCATTTTATTCCTTGTAGGACTATGGCTGCTAACATGGGGTCTATGCGTATCCTCATTAAAGGAGGGAAGGTGGTCAATGATGACTTCACACAGGAAGCAGATGTTTACATTGAGAACGGCATCATACAACAGGTGAACACAACACACACACAAACCAGTGACTATGAAATCAGCTCATAATCCCTTTAAAAATCTAACTATATTTGTTTGAATGAAACCAGGATGATGAGCTATGACAACACTTGATTTACCTTGGGATTAATAAAGTAGTTTTGAATTAAATTGAATTGAATTTAACTTTTTGGACACATTTTCTCTGTCCAGGCTCAGCTGTTGGGATGACTCACGTCTCACAATTCTACAGATTTAACCACTTGGTGAACTCAACAAGGATTGTGAACGCTATAATTAGCATGCAGGGTGTTGCCATGGTGATAATTATTAGTTTATTTTAAGAAGCAGCAGCATTTTACTCAGAAACCTGGAGAAGTCAACTGATCTTATGAAACAGGAGCTTTTTTGTTGTTTCAGTTTTTACAGGTCAACAATATTATATACAAGTTTAATCAGAAGGACTTTAGTTTCAATTTATATGAATAAATAAAAAAACAGGTCTGCTTGCAATTATAGTATTTTAATATACTCAATACCAAAAACAAAAAGGTATGAAATAATATTAAAAATGGTTTGAATATGGATTAAATAAATCCAGAAGACATTTAAGATATTTATGTGGCACAATGATTTTAAGTCCTAAGATGGTTTATTTGCTGAATTTACACAATTTCACAAAAAGTCTATTTCTAGAAACTAAGAATAATGCCATGAAATGTAAAGAAGGCATTTTAATGCAACAATAAGCTTAGTGGTAGCAAAAGTAAATAAGATTCATCTTCTGAGGGATGTCTGGGTATAATTGTCACAATGTCTGAAGGTTGGACCCAGGAATGCCTAAAAGAAGCTGAAAAAAAAAATTTGAGATTTATTAAACAAGAAACAAAAATGCTGACATGGCAGCAAAACAAACCTAGTGACCAACTTATGGAGAACACTGAGAAGAATCAGACATGGCATAAAACTCCTGATAAGAACAGTGAGAACAGAGGACATTAATAGGTTGAGGCTAATGTGGAGATGGCTGCAGCTGAGACTAATGGGGATGTGGAACAGGTGTAGGTGGGCGTGGCAGGACCAAGGAGCAGAGGCTAACTGTGGAAAACTACTGAGACCCAAGAACCAAAAACCATAAGAAACAAACATGAAAATAAACTCCAGCACAGAAAACTAAGCACTGGGAAAATGGATCATGACATCTAGAAATCCATCCAGCAGTTCCAGAGACTGAACCAAAGCTATAGAGCCGACAACTGGTTGATTCCCACAGCTTTACACTCCAAATGGGTCGCTCAAAGCCACATGACCCTTCTCATTGCCACAGATTTATGTAAAACCTACAAGTGGTCCAGAAAGTTGTTTTGTAAGCTTTGACACATTGAATTGTTGAAATTGTGCATTTGTGTTGCGTTAGGTCGGAAAGGAACTTATGATACCTGGTGGAGCCAAGGTGATCGATGCTTCGGGGAAGCTGGTGTTACCTGGTGGAATAGACACCTGCGTGCATCTGCAGCAAACATTTATGAACGCCAGCATTCAGGATGACTTCTACAGTGGCACTAAGGTACTCTCTCTCACACACACACACACACACACACACACACACAGCATGCTTATATTATTAAATACATTTAGAAATCTGAAACCGTTGTCACTCACAGACATACTGTACATCCTTACCCTCTTTACCTTTTCTTTAGTTAAATGTGCAGCCCTGCTTTGAGTTAATCTTTTGGTTTTATTGATCAAAATGAATAATTAGGTTTTCCAATACACATCCAAACACATATGCAGAACCCCGAGGTCCTAACAGATGGTGACGACGTGATAAATTATGAAACGCCCGCTCACAAGTGTTCTCACGTGACCAATTCACTGCAGCCGGGGAAGATCCCAGAACTTATACACCGTCACCCCCACCTTCTCCTTCCGCACTGCGCCCCGACCTCCCCGGGGCATTTGTATCTAAAATCTAACTTTATTATCGTAAATGTTAACGTGTTCGGAGCGCTGTCCTCAAAAAGAGATGGTGCAGCCTCAGGAGCGCTCAGCCTGAGTCTCTTTTGCTTTAGTGCTTTAGTGCTTTATATTTAATATTGCTCTAGTGATCATCTTGAATCAAAAACTCTAATCCTTTACACTAAAATCATGTTTGAACAGAAATCCCTTTGTGTTTGGGTGCTGACATTCGGGTCATACGAGTAAAGAAATGTCCTCATAAGTTGATGTCCAGTCAGCTTTAGGTCTCTATCATTACGATAAAAATAATTTGACATACTGATTTTCTGTGTACTACTTTGCTAATCTATTTACAGTTGATGGTTGGATGTTTTCCAGTAATCCTCTAAGACTAGGGGGAGATGCATATTTAATTATTAGACTTTAAAATTCAAAAAGGAAGCCTAATTGCTGCCTACAGCACTGTTTGTGTATTTTGGACGTTGTATTGGTCTCTTTGTGTTGGGCTTGCCTCACTTTATTTTTTGTTACTGGGGGCTAAGGTTCAGTACAGCTAACATGAATCTCATTTGAAGAGACGTACAGTATTCATTCAGTCTTTATTAGTACGATATCATTTCTTCAGATACATAAGAATCGTGTTCTTTATTCTATCGACACAGTTTCCACTCATTTTCAAAGCTTTGTGTTTTATTATGAAAGGTTGAAGTGAGTGAAAAGTGAGAATTTTTACTGAATTTTACAGCAATCCACCCAGAGTTTTTTCTGGACCAAAGTTACAGCCAAACAACCCCCACCATGACTTAAAAACCAAACTGTGTCACTCCAGCTGATGAAGTGAACCGGTCTGGATCTTTGTTGTTGCAGGTCACGTTACCTGCAGGGAAACGTGCTTCTGTCGCTCAGTGAATTGAAGCCTGGGCTCGAACTCAAGCGTGTTGAGAAGAATTTGAGGAAAGCTGAATTGTCTGTATGCCAGCCTCCCCCCACCCCCAGAAATCTTACCCGACCCCCTCGCTGCCATGACAACTCACCCCCTGCTCCTAGTGTGACAATTTCTGCCTGTATGGGAGAATAAGTGCACGTGACCACGGTAGTATTGTGTTGTCTCTGTGCTGGCCACGTTGCCATGGCTATGGCCCATGTGCATTCCTGATGAGCCCCAAAACCATTTCCCCCCTCTTGCATCCTCTTCCCTCCCCACAACTGCTTTGTAACTTACACCAACTTACTTATGGCCTAAGTTGTTGCTTTCCATTTATCCATCCATCCATCCATCCATCCCCTCTGTTCCTCTGCTTCACCCCCCTCTGTGGAGTAGGACAGTTTGTATAACTGTCTAACTCTTAACACAAACACACGTAAAGTCAAAATGTGTACAAATCTTAGGGGGTTTGAAAAGCTGATGGAAGAATGGCCAGAATAAAATGTGCCTTTGATTTTTTTAGCCTTTCATTTACAATTAATGACTTACTTTTCATTCTTACTTTTCATTTGATGGTATGTAAGTGAAAAGCTAAAAAAACAAACTTAGATGATTTTAAATGGCTCCTGCCTTGTTTTGTGGTAAAGGACCCACGGATGCTGTCGTTCTCGAGGATTCAGTGAATAAAACTGATTAAATGTGGAGAAAAACGCCGACAGTGCAGCAAATACAAACAAAATGAAAAACACAAGGATCAGAGAGTCAGAGTTTCTTTATTTGTCATTCACACCACACGTGATACATGTGGTGGAACGGAATTGTGTACGCAGGGTCCCAGTTACATCCAACAACAAAATGTAAAAGAAAAACAGATACGATTTAAGATATGAACTAACATAAATTAAATATACACTAAGCACTAATAGCATAAAAACAATACGCCAAACAGCAGCACGAACATGAGTCTGTGTGAGCAGATGAGTACAAATGAACATGAAACTGATCAGCAGCAACATGAAACTGATCAGCAGCAACATGATGTGATTCTTCACAGTGATTATTCTAGTTAGAGATTCATGAGTCTAACAGCCTCAGGGTAGAAGCTGTTCCTCAGTCTAGTGGTTCTACACTTAATGCTCCTTAACCTCCTTCCTGAGGGGAACGGGACAAAAAGTGTGTGTGCTGGGTGAGTGGGGTCCTTCATGATGCAGGTGGCCCTTTTCCTGCATCTGGAGGTGTAGATGTCTGTGGTGGTGGGGAGACTGACTCTAACAGACTTCTGTGCAGCTTTCACCACTCTCTGCAAAGCTTTTCTTTCTGCAGCTGTGCAGCCTCCATGCCACATGTTGATGCTGGAGCACAGGATGCTCTCCACTGCACACCTGTAGAAGGAGGTGAGGACTGAGCTTCCCAGACCAGCTCGTCTCAGCCGTCTGAGGAAGTAGAGTCTCTGATGATCAGACAGATAATCAGACACTGACTGCAGAGAAGTGATGAGAACAAGTGGACTGATGAGGTAATTGGTGACAGCTGATATTAATGTAAATGAGGAACAGGTGTGAGAAGAGGAGCATGACTGAGGAAAGAAACTGGCTTAGGGAAAGTATTGGTGGCACAGGAAACGCTGTGGACTAAACTGAACATAATGAAACAGGAAATAAACAAAATAACAAAAGGAGTAAACTCCAAAATATAAAAAAAACACAGATCATGACAGTTCTTTGCGTATGTCCTGATGGTTGTGTTGCTTAACAGCCCTCTGTATTATTGCTAGTACTGGAAATACAGACAGAATAAATTAAAACTGTTAAATTTGATCAGCGTCAGTTATTCACATTCATCAAATTAGGATACAAACTGCCTGAAGCCGAATGTTGATCTGACATTTCCAGAGCAGCATCTGTCCTGGAAGGCACCAAGAGATCATTTTATTTACGTGCAGTTTGAAGAGATGAAGGGAGGAGAAAGGTGAAGCGTTGTGCTGTAATGTAGGATGTGAACGTTGCTGATGGAGAACGATAATCTGACACTGATCGCGTCTACCTGAGGTGAACATACAGAGATTATTTCATCCTCTCACTTCACTCACATCCACAGTCTTCACTGTTTTTAGACGTGAAGCAAACTACTGTATAACTTATTTATGTCTTTGTTTTTACATATTTTTTATTTTTCATTCTGTTTATCTGCAGCCTAATTTTTCTTGTCATGCCAACAGACACACGTTTTAATTCACTCTCCTTCAGTCACTCCTCATCTCCTGGATGTGTTCTGAGATTATTTCCATAATAATGACTGTGTGTGTGTGTGTGGGGGGGGGTA